TTTGCGTGAACTAAATTTAGGTCAGCTTGCAAACCTGCATTGCTTGCCTTCTAATCTTCCTAGTCTTTTTTCTCTAAAAAAAACTAAGAATCAATATGGTTCCAAAGATCCCATAATTGTCAAACCTCCCTCCATCTTTGTGTTTTCTTTATCTAGAAAATCTTGATAGCCTTGATTGCTTGCTTTCTTGCCATCCTAGCCTTTCTTCTCTCCAAGAATTTTGTTTCTTTTAGTACCGTGGACACCGAAGTTTCTCCAATCTAAAGTTAACAACTTTAAATTCTTCTTGTCACTTAATTTTGCAGTGCAAGCTTCTTTGGTATCATTTATGCTCTTAAGAAATTTGATATGTAATAGTTGAAAGATCATTCATCTTCTCTGGTTCTCCAATTCTATAGTTAGTCTTATTTTTAAAGCAAACTAATTCTGTGATCCACATTATAATTAATGTTTCTTGTTTGAAGTTATGATCTTGTGGGAATATGAAACAAAAAGTAAAACAATTTTGTAGATGCCTTGGCAAAAATATATAGCTTAGTCTTAAGATGTGCATGATAGCATTCTGATCTAATTTTATACTTCAAAAATACTTTTTAAAATTTTCATCTAATATATTTTAGTGAAGTTAGAATTTAAAATGTCACCGACGACTCTTTGCTGCCAATGGAGATCCTAAGAGCTTTTAACTATCTATCTAGCTATTACTCTTAATCCAGACCTCTCCCACTCCTTGGAAAATATGATCATCAACAATTGTCGTCCATAATTGCAGAAGTGTTATCAAATGATTTCAAGTTTTGACAGGCACAAGATTGTTCAGATTCCTCATTTTCATATTTCTACTAAGTAAGTCCTTGCAAATTCAAACAAATTTATTAAAGCTTTTTAACTAATTAATTTACTCAATTTTATTTTTGTATTTGCAGATGGTATATTATGAGGCGTTTTTCATTCTCCAACTATGACTTCTAGAAAGACAATCTAAGCACTGCTCCAATGTCATAATGCATAAGACCTGACACAATTTCACTGAAGTTTTCAAACTTTTTGTGAGATTAGCTTGCTGACACATGGGAATTGAAAAGAAACAAAAGGCAGAAGTGAAATTATTTATAGTTATCTTCTTTGTCCTCTTGCTTTCTAGAAATAGTGTAGTAGCAAAACGTGTTATGTGGTGAAGTCTTTTCAATGGAGTTTATCATGTTGCCATTTACTATTTTTATGATCCATGGATGAAATTCTATTTATGTCTTCTAGTTTTGTTGATTTTGCTTGTTTTCATA